TACAAATGGAAATGCAAAAGCTTGTTGCCTGATTCTGGTTTACATCCTGTGTTTTAATAATTTTGGCATGGAAAATAAAAGCTCATAAGGGAAAAGAATAATTAAATGGCAATGTATGCAGCACAATCAGTAATTGCAAAAACATGGAAGCAACCAAAATGCCCATCAGCAGAAGATTGGATAAGAAAGCTTTGGTTCATCTACTCCATGGAATACTACTCAGCTATTAAAAAAAACAAAATGCAGTTCTTTGTGGCTAAATGGGCACAACTGGAAACTATAATGCTAAGGGAAATGAGCGAATCCCAAAAGATTAGATACCACATGTTTGCCTTGATTTAACCTGTAATTTTTTGTTTGGTTGTTTGTTATTTTTTGAACCTGTCATTGATACTGTCTCAACCCAGATGTTTCGAAGAAGGGAACTTGCATTATTTTTAACATATTGTTTACCCAATACTATGTCAATTAATTCCATAATGTTGTATATTGATACTGAGGCCTTGTTGGGGCTTTTAACTGACCGGATCTTTACTCTGTTAGACCTATCTTCAGACCATAGAAGGTCTCCCCAAGAGGCCACTGAACTTATCTGGACAATAAGACGCTGAACTTTATGCTAGGCATGTGTTTGCAAGCAATGAATCTCAACTGAACTTGAACTATGGTTATGCAACAAGGTGGAGGAATCCACCATGGGGGGAGGGGTATGGGAGGGGTGGGGAGAATCCCCAGCGCCTATAAAACTGTACTACATAATACAATGTAAGCAACAATAAAAAAAAAATGGCAATGTAAATATTTAATATTCCTCTGTAACAAAAGTTCTTCAAAAAACCAAAAGATATAGCCTATAATAAACTTACAGTATATGACAAACTAGGTCATTAGTAGCCAAGGCATGTGAAGAGCTATAAGAAATACAGAAGGGGAGCTGCTGCCTGCCACACTGCATCTCACATGGTCAGCTGTTACTGGTCTTGCCTGTTCCACTTCTGATCCGGCTCCTTGCTGAAGGCCTGAGAAAGCAATGGCAGATGGCTCAAATGCTTGAATCCCTGCACCCATGTTGGAAAGTCAGAGGGAATTCCTGGGCCCTGATAGACCCAGCTCCAGTCACTGTGGCCATTAGGGGAGTGAACCAATAGATGCAAGCTCTCTCCATCTTTCTTTCTCTCTCTCTCTCTCTGTCACCCTTTCAAATAAATAAATCTTTAAAAAAACTCAAGAAAATACTTTAACAGGAAAATAAGCAAGGATATGCTAATTTAAATAACAAGAATAGCCACAAATGTGGTGTTAAAGTAGAAAAACAGAATTTTTTATCCATAAAATGACTAAATGTGAAAATGACAATAATAGGGTCAGCTCAGCGGCATGCAAGCTAATTCTCTTTGTGTAGTGCCAGCATCTCATGTGGGTGTTGATTCTTGTCCTGGCTGCTTCACTTCCCTTCCAGATCCCTGATAATGTGCCTGGGAAATCGGCAGAGGATGGCCCAGGGCCTTGGACCCCTGTTACCTACAAGAGACACCTGGAAGAAGCTCCTGGCTCCTGGCTACTGCTCCAGGATTCTGATTGGACAAGTTCTGGACAGTCAGCCATTTGGGGAGTGAACCAGCAGATAAGAGATTTGCATCTTTCCCTTTCTCTTTGTAATTCTGACTTCCACCTAAAATAAAATTAAAAAGTGGCTGTTTCATATTAGCAGTGACTGAATTGAGACAATACCCACAAACATGCCATATTTCCACATCTCTTTTAAGAAGAAGCACTGATGGTCTTCATTCTAAAGTATCTTCTTAGTGGTGCGTATACAGCAAACAGCAATGACAAAAGCAGATCCCCTTCTGAAGGACAGGGAAGTTTCACTTACTACACAGAAAAATAAATGTACTATCTGCTTCTAAAGCAAATGAAGGCGACTTGCCTGAGGTCCACTGCAAGGATTTAGGTTGCTTAAGCCCAGGATTTCTCCCCAGCAACAGCCTTCTGCATGTCCTAGCATCTTGTAGTCCCAGTCACACCTCACTGTAAAACCGAGCCACTGAGAATTAATACAAGAAGAGCGTACTCTAGCTATAGTTACTGCTATATTCTGCCTCTGGCCAGGAGTCTCCTATCTTCTGGCAAAATCCACACAGCTATTAACAGCAAGTAGAATATAATCTCAGACCCTTAAAAATTTTAGCAATCATACAATACAGCAAAAGCAACACATCCTTGTCAATTAAATAAACTGTTACAATCAACCTTTTTTGAATATATCAGAAGTTGCCCTAACTTAAAACATATACATCTGTCTACACATATATAAATACAAATTTTAATCCAGTAATTCCACATCTATAATATTCATACTAAGCAAACGTACAAATACACATTCTTAGAGTATTCTGCTTTATACACGGAAGATGCATTCCAAGACCCCACCAGATAGCTGAACTCTGCATAGTACGAAATCACAAATATGTATGTACATATATGTATTTATACATACACACGCTTTTTCTGTACAGAACAATAATGAGCTATCACTTTTTTAAAGAAAGCACTTCATAGTTTCCTTCAGCAAATGTGAGTTGCCAGAATTTGCATCCTTGCACTTTGGGCCATTATTAAGTAAAATAACAGTGACAGGAATGCAAGCCGTGTAACCCTGCAACAGGGCCTGATAACTAAGCAGGCCATTAGGTGACCAGAGGGCAGATAACATTCAAACACCAGTCTGGTTACACTGGATAATGCGAAGATTCACATCCTCTGTAGGGATTGAATGAGATTTCATCGCAGACCTTAGAACTCCGTATAACTTCAAACTTAGCAATTGCTTACTTAGTGAATCCATGGATAAGGGCAGAGAAAAGGGAGCAGAATGTGGCATATACAAAGATGATTTCTTCAGTTTTATTTGTACCAAATAAATTTGAGAATTGGTTAAATAGTTATTTCTGAAATTAAATACCAAAAAAAAACCCACTTTAGAAAAGTTAATATTACATACACAGAGCAATGTTCATCAATGAGTACTAAGTAGCACCAACAGAAAATTACAAATGGTACCTTGCCATACATGAAATTAAGGCAGACTCACATGCTTTATCATCTGAAAGGAGAGAAAACAAATCATTAAGCGGTGATGATTTTTGCGGAATAGGAATACTGAGTGGGTGGGCACACAACACTTTCCTTTTCTCCTTTGGCTATTTGTTGTCTTTTTTTTTTTTAAAAAAAAAAAAGTATAGATTGATTTCACGACCTAATAGAGCTTTGAAGTGTTCATTATAGCAATACCTGAGAGGTATACTGGGGATATTCGTAAAATACAGAGCTGAGGGATCACCTTTCTAGTCATCTATCTCTTATGACTGCTGAAATCAGGCATAGAATGTCCTGATTCGCAAATGATGTGGAAATCAACTACACTCTGTAAGAAAAAAGCAGTAAAAAGACAGATTCTAAATCGGGCTGCTTCTCTGTACATAACTCAACAGGAATACCACTTGGTCAGTGCTGAGTGAGGAACAGAAGGAAGCAATTTAACAGCAGTTAATGACTCAACTAACCATGGCAAGACTAGGTCCAATATTACTAGCAATAGGAAGGAAACTTTAAAGATGTGAGGAGGGGGAATCAACTCACCTGTACTGAACGTACTCATTCCAAAAACACTTAGTGATGTCTACACTATGCTAGCCATTGCTGGAACCGTTACGCACTAGAACGCATTATGAAAATACAGTAGTAAGAGCAGCATGGCAACATTACAAGGAAGCCAGAGATCACTGCACAGCAGTTCGGAAAGGATTCTCAAGAATGTACATGACCTAGTGCCTGTGAAGTACGAGTACATTATACTTAGGGAGAGAATTCAACAAGTGACGATGGGACCACTGGCTAACAAACAAAAAACACAGCCTATCGTAACAACATGACTGAACCACTGCTTGAGGAAAGGGAATCAACCACCCTTGTCTGGGCTGTGATTTTCAAGTCTGCAACAGCGGGAAGTGTATGGAAATGCATGCGCGACAATTAGTCTTTAAGTAGCGCTCAGAAAGCAAATACGGAAAGAATCTGGTAAACACTTGGCCAGTGCCCACTACAAAGTGACGTGCACCACTGCTGGAAGGGTAGAAACACTGCCCCTTTCCACCCAGGACCGTGGATGGTATGTACAACTGAAGCCTATGTACGGCTCGCACGCTCACGACGTGCCATCAGGACAAGAGAAGCCTGAGGTGATGTGGAGAGGAAAACATGCATCTACATCCTTAGTTTAAGAAGGCCAAGTGAGCACAGGAAGACACGTGTGTCTTCAAACAGACCAGAACACGCAGAGATCCCCGTAGTGGGTAGCAGTGAGTCCTCCAGCGTGGTCGGACGCGCCATTCCATCAACACAACTATACGACACAGGTTTCCATCATCACAACTTTCCAAGTATTTGCCTATTTCATTAGTGAGTGCCGCCAGAGGCTTTGTGGCAAAGAGCATTTGGGAAACCAAAGAAATTCCAAACCACCCCCAACTGCAAACACGCTGGCCTGACAAGGAGACCACACGGATGGTCGCCATACCTTCTAAAGGCACCCCTACACACACACACACAGAAGCAAGTTGCAGCTGGGCAACCCCTGAGAGGTTGCAGGGCTACCAGGGCAGCAGGCCCAGGAAGGCAGGTGGCCCATGGGCGGCGGCCAGGCCGCTGCCTGCCGCAGACCCCGCAGAGTAAACAACCCTGGGCAGCACGCCCACCCGCGCATCCTGTAGTTACACTAGAGCGGGGAAGCGGCGCCCAGGGCGCCTAAAGCCGAGTCGGGGTCCCCGGTAAGCTCTGCTAGGCACGGGCGGCCAGCCGGGAGCGGGGTGGGGGACGGTCAGGGCCTGAGCCCCGCGCCCAAGCTCCCCAGAGACCGGCGTGCCGTCACCGGCCCCGCCCCAGCGCCGAAGGAGGGAGACGGAGACCCGCAGGAGGGGGAAGTAAAGGAAGGGCCGTACCCTGAAGGGTCCGGGAGTGGCGCGGGTGCGGGGGGCGACTCCCCGACTCTGGAGCTGCGGCACCACAGCGGCGAGCGGGGCCCAGCGCGACCCGGAAGGAAGCGGCGGCGGCTGCGAGGAGGGGCGGGGCGGGGGCGGGGCTCGAGGCTCGGGGAGGCGGCACCCAGAGGAGGCCGGGCCTGCGCCGCACTCGGCTCCGGGCGCCACTGCGGGCTGAGGAGGCTGGGCAGCGCGGGCCTGCCCCTGTGAGGGCCGCCGTCACCTGCGAGGGCCGCCACCTTGAGGGCCGCCCCCTGAGAGGGCCACCGCCGCCTGCGAGGACCGCCGCCCCCTGAGAGGGCCGCCGCCCCCTGCGAGGGCCGCCCGCTGGCAGGGCAACCGCCTGCGAGGGCCGCCACCTGTTAGGGCCACCCGCTCCCAGGGCCACCGCCGCCTGCGAGGGCCGCCGCCTGTAAGGGCTGCCGTCGTCTGCGAGGGTCGCCACCTGCGAGGGCCACCCCCTGCGAGGGCCGCCCGCTGCCAGGGCCGCCCGCTGCCAGGGCCGCCCGCTGCCAGGGCCGCCCGCTGCCAGGGCCGCCCGCTGCCAGGGCCGCCCGCTGCCAGGGCCGCCCGCTGCCAGGGCCGCGGGAGGAGCTTCGGCCGGCTCCCCGGTCTGGGGGTGAACCCGTCAAGGGCCCAGTTTCTTCGCAGCGGGCGGTGGTTTGACCACTTCTGCCATTATGCTGCCTGTCGTGCTGTAGCCAGACTTCTGTAAGTGTAGTGGAGCTGAAGTTTCCGTTTAGTCAGTGGGCTCGGTGGGAGTAGGCAGAACAGCCAGTAACTGATTCACAGAGCAAGTAAAATAATTTACCAGGTTTACCAACCTCGTTTGTCCCCACATGTAAGTCTTGCTGCAGGCTCATTTTCATCCCTATATTGGGAACGGGAGACCATCACGTCTCATCAGAGGATGGCCTGTGGTCTTCCTTAGTTATTTTGATTTATTTTTAAATAAATATGGTATCACCCTTTCTCTGATATGTAATCTGTGTATCTTGTTGGGAGATTTCCATGAAGGTGGGAAAACATTATTTTGGAGCAACTTTACTTGGCTGGATGAAGGGGACACCTTCAGCGAAAGTCCATAGCATGCACCTTAATATGAGGTGATGGTAAGAACACTCCCAGCTCTGCAAACTGTTGGTACAACAGAGCGAGCCTGGAGACAAGATGACTAAGTTGAACATGGCATTGTGACTGAGATTATGGAACAGAAAGGGGACAGGAGTGGAAAAAACAGTGAAATTAGAATATTTTAGTTGGTAGTTAATGAACCAATACCAATGTCTTGGTTGTGACAAATGTACTATTGAAATTTAAGATGTTAACAATATGGGGAGGCTGAATACTGTCATTGCAGCATTTCTAAAAATCTAAAATTCTATAAATCTGAATCTATTCTAAAATGAAGTGGATTTAAGCAATAATTTTATGCCTAAGCAAGTAAAATTGACCCTTTGGGGGCCTTGGGTGAGATTTCGTTGAGCAGGTGTGTGCAAGGTGCTCAAACAGGAGTCTGAATTATATCAGTTCCTCCCTCCTCACGTGATCTCTGTGTGTTTATTATTATCCATTTGGAAGATACAGAGACATAAAGATTGAAACAGATGGAAAGAGAGCTTCTATCTCCTGGTTCACACCCCAAATACACAGAACAACCAGGGCTGAGGCAGGCTGCAGCAAGGAACCCAGAACTTTCAGACTTCCCTGCAAGTGGCAGGAACCCAAACACTTGACCCATCCCCCACTGACCTCGAGGGTGTGCAGTGGTTAAAAGAAGGAGCACGACTGGCACTTGAACTCAGGCACCATGACTTATGTTGGCATACCCATACCCCAACAGCCTCTTTGCCACTCAGCCAAACTCCTGCCCCTAACATCATTTCTAGAATTATTAACTTTTCACTGAAGTAAATAATTATACTCAGAAAAGGACACAAAATCTGAGTGTAGAGTTTGATGAAAATTAAACAGAGGCTTGTATTTTTCATCGAGATAAAATAAATGACAGTGCTCAAAATATCTTGAAAAATGGATTTGAAATAACTTTATTTTGCTGCAAAAAATATTGAAATTCAGTACATACGTTTTACTTGTATAACTATACTATGGCTTAACCTTCTAATCCTTTTTTAAAAGACTTATTTATTTATTTAAAATGCTGAGTTACAGAGAAAGAGAGAAATCTTCCATGTTCTGTCTCACTCCTCAGGTGGCAGCAACAGAGTTTGTGCCAGATCAAAGCAAAGAGCCAAGGCATTTTCCAGGTCCCGCAAGTGGGTGGCAAAGGCCCAAAGACTTGGCCCACCTTTTGCTGCTTTTCCCAAAATATTATCAGGAGGCTGATCAGAGGTGAACCAGCCGGGACTCAAACCTGTACTCCTATGGGGTGCTGGTGATGCAGGCTATGGTTTAAATTGAAACAGCACAGTGTTAATGCATTCATTCTACTCTTAACGAATATTGAACTGCTTTTTGTTTGTTTTTAAAAATTTATTTATTTTTTATTGGAAAGTCAAATATACAGAGAGGAGGAGAGACAGAGAGGAAGATCATCTGTCCGCTAATTCACCACCCATGTGGCTGCAACAGCCAGAACGGAGCTAATCCAAAGCTAGGAGTCAGGAGCCTCTTCCAGGTCTCTCACACGGGTGCAGGGTCCCAAGGCTTTGGACCATCTTTGAGTGCTTTCCTAGGTCACAAGCAGGGACCTAGATGTTAAGTAGAGTAGCTAGGACATCAACCAGCACCCATATGGAATCTTGGTGAGTGCAAGGCAGGGAATTAAACCACTTAGGCTACCACATGGGGCCCATTGTTTTTATTTTTGATTACTACAAACAATGCTGATATTCACTTTTTTGCTAATATCATTACAGTGGCTAACATTTTTTTTTAAAGATTCATTTTAATTATTTGAAAGAATTACAGAGAAAGCAACAGCCAGAGTAAGGATGGGAGGGAAAAGTGGAGAGAGACAGAAAGATATCCTTCATTCACTGGTTTACTCACAAAATGGCCATTAGCAGGCAAGGTGGCACTAGGCCAAAGCCCTGAGAGCCAGGAACTCCATCTGTGTCTCCCATATAGAGATCCCAAACAAAAATTAAGCCATCTTCTGCTGCTTTCTTTATTCAGGCCTACTCTCAGAGGGCTAGTGGCAGCATGGGCAGGATTCCAACAGGTGCTGCAACATAAGCTACCAGCATCACAAGCCGTGGCTTAACACACTGTGCCAAAAAGCCAACCTAGTGCCTAATTTTTGCATTATCCTCCATACATTTTCTTATCGTCACTGGAAGATACAGCATTTGGTACTACTGCTGATTTTGTTTAATTTGTTTTTTGTGGCACTGACAGTACTGCTTGAAAAGAATATAAACCCATCATTGAAGAAAGGAACGCCTCAGGGAAAGTTCCCTCTGTGATTAACAGAATTTGGCACATGATAGCTCAGCCTACCCATCCTCCAACCTTCTCCTCTCAAGTGCTTAGCAGCTGCCAAGCTTTGTTTGCTGGACCAGAGAGCCAATTGAGACCAAAGAAAAGGGCAATGCTTATCAGTTAGTGATGGCCCCCATTTAGTGGATGAACGAATGCCTGGTTATTAAATGGAATGTTGTTTGGAGCTGAATAGCATCCCACGCTGTAACAGTACTATTACAAATAAAGTCCCAACAAGGCCTAATTGTGTATAAAGTCACCAGCTCAACAAGCTTTGTTATGATCCAATCTATGTTAGCTTCAAAAGTTAACAGTGTTCCACTCAAATGGGGAGGCTGGCAAAAATGCAGCAGGTTAAAAACTTCTTTGTCCTGATCTCTCGAAATACCATTATACTCGACTATTTTCAAGGGATCTTTCTTTATCTGAAATGAGATGTCTATCAATTATAAACTTCTAGAACTATGAGTAGGCATGACAATGAGGCACTGTATCAGTGAGGTAGAGATATCGTTCAAAACACTGCAGATAGAACTTCCCACAAAGAGCTCCCTTTGCTTTTTTTCTATCATGGGTTCCCAAGCAGGTTGTCAATGTCACTCCATGCATTTTCTACATAACTCAGCCCTAATAATTTCCTCCTACAATTTACCACTATAATTCTAACTGGTTTCGTGGAAAGTAGAGTTCGGTTGGTAATATTAGTGTTTTTGCATATGTCAATTTCCAAAGAGTATAAATAATAACCAGTGAGAATACTACTTAATCAACTTTTTTAACCTCTTACAATCCATAAACATTTCATCTTACTGTTAATCTATCACAATATTAATTTAGAAATAATCACAGTAATTAAAGTCAGAAATTGAAAGTAGAAGGAAGCTTTAAATGTACAAGTCCAAAATTCTTTTCCTAAAGATGAGGAAATTGAGGCTCAGAGAGTTATCCAAGTCACAGTGTCAGAGCAATCAATGAAACCTAATTTCCCAACTTTTACTCCATCAGGTATTTTAATGATATACATGACTTTTCAATTTAATGAAACTTACCTAATCATACTCCCAAACCACTATTACCTTGAAGTAGCTGAATACAGAGAACAGAAGACATGAACTTGAAAGTAGGAGGGCTTGTCTGTCTACCTTTGCCATGTTAGTAGCTCTATGATCTTGGAGAGGCTACAAGTTCTCTGAGGTTATACTCACTTTTATGAAATGTGTCTCACTCATGAAACTGCAGAAATTAAAAAGAAGTCATAAATGGGAAGGCATCTTGTGAGCTGTAAAGTATGCAAATGTATGAATATTATTAAGATGTATTAAAATGTGTTAAAGATTGGTAATTGAGCCTTTTCTGCAAAAAATGTCAGAATAGGACCTTCTAGTTAATTCTAGTTCAATTCTTTTACTTGTCGCTATAGGAGACAAAAGCTTAGAAAGACTGGACGACTTACCCAAAGATTTATGACATGCTGCTTGCAAAAACCAAGACTTGAATGAAGGTTTCTTAAATTGCAGTTTCCAGTGAAAAATTTCTCCTGTCATTAATAAGAGAATATGAATGTAAGTCAGAATAATGGGGTAAAATAAT